AGAGAGAGGAAGAAGAGGAGGAGGAGGAGGAGGAGGGAAGGGGAAAGAGGGAGAGAGAGACAGACAGACAGAGAGAGAGAGAGGTGGAAACTGTATCCTTTTTTATGACTTAGCCTGGGAAGCGACACAGCGTTACTTTGCCGTAACCTGTTGGCTGAGGCAGTTACAAAGACCTGCCCACTTTCAAGGGGAGGGAACACAGACCCCCACATTTCCATGGAGGAGTCTCAATGTCACTTTGTAGAAAAATGTTCCTCCTAGAGCCCAAATGTTTGGGTGCCAGCATTATATTGATGAGAAGAAGGTGGATTTTGGTGACAGATATACAGACCTGAGTTCAAATCCCCGTTCTCTCATTTGGATACATCATCATTATTTAGACAGAGCATGCATTTCCGAGGCTGGCTTCCCGGCTGTGGGTCCTGGGGCTGCCTCTCACCAGCTGTGAGACCTTAGACAAGCTACTTCACCTCTCTGGGCCTCACTTCACTTAGCTGTGAAATGGGGGATGATGATAACTATGATATCTACCCCAACAGGGCTGCCACAAAGAGGGGATTCGGTAATATATGTAAAGAGCCAAGAGAAGTGACCGACACACGGTAAGTGTGAACTATTGTAACTATTATTATTCACCCCCAATATTTCTTGAGTTCCTACTGTGTGCCAGAATTCATGCTGGGTGTGGGGGATACAGCAGTGAACAAAGAAGACACAGGACATAGTCCCCGCCCTCATGGGCTCTCGGTTTGGAGAGAGAGAAAGAAAGAGAGAGAGGGTAGGCAGAGGGCACTGTGGGAGAATCTCAGCACCTGGGACAGCACCTAATGCTTGTCAGGAATTTATTAACAACATCAACAGTGATAAAGGGGTGCATAACCTACCTGGAGTCCAAAGAGATATTCTAAACACCTTGGGTGTGTCTGGGAATCAAGTGGGAGGTCTTCAGAGGAAGAAATTTGCATGCATGATTCTCTTTATAATAAAATTAACAGCCAGCAGTGTTCTGGCACTTACTGTGGGCTAGGTCCTTGTTCGTCAGTTGCTTTCTGTCATCTTTCCAAACTCTGTGACAGGGGCCAGCAAACTCCGGCCCACTGCTTGTTTTTGTAAATAAAGTTTTGTTGGAACACAGCTGTGCTGGTTTGCTTGCATAATGTCTGTGGCTGCTTTCCTGCTGTAATGGCAAGAGTAGGTGCAGGAGGGATCGTTGGGCCTGCAAAGCTGAAATTATTTACCAGCTGGCCCTTTGCAGAAACTGTTTGCTGACCCCTGTCCTAGATGTAGATATTAGGACCACAGTTTACAGAAGAGGAGAAAAGGGCTCGGAGATGGAATGCTTTATTCACGGTCAAGAGAACCAGCATCTGAGCCCAGCACCCATGTCCATTATTTTTAATTTTTTTCTTAATTTTTATAAAATACATATAACATAAAATTTCCCATTTTAACCATTTTAACTGTACAGTTCTATGGCATTAAGTACATTCACATTTTTGTGCAACCATCACCACGATCCACCTTCAGAACTCTTTTCGTCTTGCATAACTGAAACTCTGTCCCCATTAAACAACAGCTCTCCCCCACCCCCCACTGCCCCAGGCCCTGGCAATCACCATTCCGCTTCCTGTCTCTATGAATTTGTCTCCTCTAGGTGCCTCATATAAGTGGAATCATACAGTATTTGTCCTTTTGTGTCTGGCTTATTTCACTTGGCGTAATGACCGCACAGTTCGTCCATGTTGTAGCACATGTCAGACTTCCCTCCTTTTTTAAGGCTGAATAATATTCCATTGCATGGATATACCATGTTCTGCTTATCCATTCATCTGTCGATGGACACTTGGGTCACTGTGCCCAAGTTCTTACCACTGCCCTCCACTCCTCATAGTGGTGATTTCACCTGCACAAGGAGGAAACCACTCTCCAAGAACAATGAGAAAATGCAGATGAACAAAAATCGAAAAACAATAAAATCACCCATCACCCTGCCCAGCAGAGACCCCACACAGAATATTATAGTTTTTTTTTTTTTTACTCCAAAAAATATGCATGTTAGTATATAAACTTAAAAAAAGAGAATCGGTCTGCTTTTTTTTTTTTCTTCTATATTGGTGGTTAATGAATGAACTCATGGATGTTCTTAAACGTGTGAGCCTGATGAAGCTGTAGACAGAGTGTGTCCAGAAACATACAGATGAATTAACATTTACTGTGAGTGTCAGGTGGTCTGTGAGAGCAGGGACCCTGTCTGTCTTGTCGCTGAAATCCCAATGTCTAGCTCAATGCCTGGGACACAGTGGGTGCTCATTAAATAGCCGTTGAAAGGAGTGTAGGGGTAGGAAAGGGTAGGGCCACTCTCCTACTGATCAATATCGAGGTTGATTTTATTTGCTTCTAGTGTCTTGCTATTACAGAGACACAGGGCTGTGAGGAACATTTTCCTATGTATGTTTCTTTCCAAATGACCAATTATTCTCTTAGCATAAATTCTTACAAGGGGAATGGCTGGGTCGAATATTTGCACAGGTGGTTTGCCACCTGTTGCTGAATGGCCTTTTAGGAAGGCTGTACCAATTGGCAGTCCTGCCAGCAGGTATGAGTACCTGTTTACTACATCCTTGCCAACACTGGGTATTATGGTTGTTTCCATCCTGCCAATCTGATAGGTGAAAAATGTTATGTTGTCATTATCTTAATGAGCTCTTCTTTGATTCCCAGTAAGGCTGAGTAGTTTCATGTGTTTGTTGACTTTCTTTCTTTGCAAATTGCCCATCGTGCCCTTTGCCTATGCTCCCCTCTTCCTGTTGGGGGAGGGGTGAGCCTTTTTTTTTCTTATTGATTTGTAAGGGCTTTTTACATATTAAGGATACTAACTCTTTGTCATTTTGGTGGGTGAGAGGAGCCAGAAGTTGAGAGAGGGGAAGTCACTACTCAAGGTACACATCTAAGAAGACGTGGAGCAGGAATTTGAAACAAGGTCTCTCTAGATCCATGTCAGGGGTTTTTACCACAGCCTCTATGGCACCTTCCCCTTTCCCAGGCCTTGCCCCCTCCAGGGCCCAGGAGCTCTGAGTTCCTACAATCTCAGAAAAGGGAAAGGCCTCTCTCCAGACCCAGCCACCCTTGCTACATCCCCAACAGCAAAGCTATTCTTTGGTTTGTTGTGTAGATTAAATACCTAGCACATACTAGGTACTCAATAAATAGTAGCTAGTATTATTGCTTGTTTTAAAATTATTTTCTCTTCAGCCACATCTCTTTCCAGCTGCCTCCCCCTTCAAGCCAACCTCCTACCATCTCAAACATCTGGCACTCCCCAAGCAACTTGTCTCCTGACTCCTGACTCCTAGCCTTTGCATATGCTGTTACCCTGTCAAGTTCTTCCTCTCCCCTTGGTCCACTTGAAGAACTCCTACTCATCTTTCAAAACCCTATTTAGGTTTTCCCTCCTCTGGGAAGTCTTCCCTTACTCCCAGGCTGAGTCTCCAATCGCAGATCCTGGACCCAGCGCTGCTGTGTTCCCTTTGGGTACCCTGTGCCTGGGAGGGCGCACAGAGCTCACAGTTTTCAGGGCATTACAGAAACAAGACACACTTCTCCAAGAAAAAACAAAAAATCACTAGTTTAAAACTGGAAAAGCAGCAAAACCAAAGTGAACACATTTCATTCTATGTCTACAAAACAAAACATTACATCAACTTTATTGTCAAAGCCAATATTCAAAAACCTCTTGGGACATTCAGAAACAATTTACCAGTCAGATATTTCTCACTTCCTAAGAATCCTCAAGTATGTCTGTTGATTGCTGACAAACTCGGTCCAATTGTAAATCAAATGAGTTCCTTGTGGTCAAATAATTTCCAAAACAAAATGATAAAAATCTTTTCAGTGTTTTTTTCTTTTTAGTCAGCTTTACTGCAGTATAATTTACATGCAATGAAATTCATTACTTTTAAGTGAACACGCTGGAGAGATCTGATAACTGTATGTAGTCACATATATAACCACCAGTATGAAGATAGAGACTATTTCCAAAACCTCCGCAAGTTCCCTTTGCAGTGATCCCTTCCCCTGCCACCTCTGCCCTGGCACCCAGTGACCTTCATTCTTTCACTATCTTTTTGCCTTTCCTAGAATGTCACTTAACTGGAATCATACAGCATGCGGTCTTTTGCATCTGGCTTCTCTCACTCAGAATAATGCTTTTGTGGTTGACCCATATTGTCTCAACTATCAGTATTTTGTTCCTTTTTATTAAGTAATGGTCCATTGTATGAGTTTACTGTAATTTATTTATCCATTCAGCTGTTGATGGACATTTGGGTTGTTTCCACCTTTTGGGTATTATGAGTGGGAGAGATTGAATTGTCTTTCTCCCCTCCTCCAACGAGTTTCTCCCCTGCCCCGCAATTTGTTGAAGTCCTAGCCAGCAGTACCTCAAATATGACCTTATTCAGAAATAGGGTTGCTGCAGATGTAATTAGTTAAGATGAGGTCATACTGGAATAGTGTGGGCCCCTCCTCCCTCAGACCCAGGAGTCTAGGCCCCCAGCCCCCTCTTCCCTCAGACCCCAGGAGTTTGAGAACCCCTAGGCAAGTAGGTCCTGGTTTCTGATTATCAAAATTCTCAAATTCTCCCATAAAGTCAATGAGGAACACATATTTTTAGATGAGGAACCAGGCAGATATGTTTGAAAGACACACAAAGGATCGCAGCCCAGAAGTGGCAGCGGCAGGATTCGAACTCGCGTGTTACTCCGGAACTGCACGGCACTTTATAGCCGAGCGAGTGTGACGTCATTCGTCCGGCGCGTAGGCCCCGCCCCTCAAGCCCCGCCCCTAGGCCACGGCCACGCCCCCGGCCCGTAAACTACCATTCCCAGCTGTAGCAGCGCTCGGGGCCCATCCCCATAGGTCCCGCCCTGGAAGCCCCGCCCCTCGGCCCCATGCCTCGCCCCGCCCCTTTCCGGAAGTCTTCGGTCCCCAGCGGAGCTTGCATTTCCCCACGTGGGTCCCGGGCTGCCGGCTCCTGGGAGCGACCCGGGGCGGCGGGTCTGCGGGCGGCTCCGCGCTGCACCCCGGCTCCGGCCCGGCATGAACCGCTACCTCCTGCCGCTGTCCGTGCTGGGCACGGTGGCGGGCAGCGCCGTGCTGCTCAAGTGAGTATGTGCCGGCCCCGCGGGCGCGGTGATGGCCGGCCGGTGGGCAGCGGCGAGGGAGGGAAGTCCGGGCAGAGATCACCGGCTCCTCGCCCACCCGGGAGTCCTCCAGCCCGCCCACCGGCGGTGCTCCCAGAGAATGCCGGGCAAACCTAGGCCCCGGAGCGCAGGTCACGGCCCAAGGTCACCCAGAGGAAGGGGCGGACCCGGCCCTTGGAAACATTTTGGTCTAGTTACTTCCGGACTTTGTTTAATTCCTTCATTCAGTGAATATCTATTGAGCAGTTCCCATGTGTCACGTGCTGGCCCAGGTGCAAGGAAAATGTATGCCACCTAAGCTCTCTTATGGGAAATTGGAGAAACAAATAGAATTGTCCAATTCAGTAAATGACACAGTCGTATTGCACGAGATCTATACATAGTTCTTTCTTGTCTTTCCTAGGCTAATTCACTTAAAAATAAAACAAAACAAAACCAGGGCCGGCCGGTGGCGTACTCGTTAGGTTCGCAGGCTCCGCTTCGGTGGGTTCGAAGGTTCGGATCCCTAGTGCAGACTGAGGAACAGCTTATCAAGCCGTGCTGTGGCAGCGTCCCATATAAAGTAGAGGGAGATGGGCACGGATGTTAGCTCAGGGCCAGTCTTCCTCAGCAAAAAGAGGAGGATTGGCAACGGATGTCACTTAAAAAAAAAAAAACAAACCCAAAAAACCGGCTACCAAATATTCTGTAGCAGCACTGTTCAGTAGAACTTTCTGCGATAATGGAAGTGTTTTATTTTTGTGCTGTCCATCATGAGAGCCATCACAGGTGGCTATTGAGCACTTAAAGTATAGCTGTATTATGCCTACAGTTAACCATATGGTATTGTATTGTACACTTAGAAATTTGTTGAGAGTAGATCTCATGTTAAATGTTCTCACCTCAAATGAAAAAAAAAAAGGATTAGCAATATGTAATTTTATTACAGTTACACAAGAGAAGAGATTGGCTGGGAGATAGGCCAGAAAGTAATTGGAATATTGAAGTACATTTTTTTTTTAAGGGAATGAAGGATAGACTGTAAATCTCTGAATAATTACCTTTGGGTTTATTTATCTGCTCTGTGATGAGGCTTCATTTTGAACTTGTTCCTTCTGATCTGATAAAGTCTTTTTCATTTAGTTGGCTGGTATCTTGTTATTTATAATTCATTGAACTCCTGATTTGTAAATATCAACTACCTTTTTAAAAAAAATTTTATTGAGGTTGCACTGGTTTATAACATTGTGTAAATTTCAGCTGTACGTCATTATATTTCGACTTGTATATAGACTGCATCATATTCACCACCAAAAGTCTAGTTTCCATCTGTTACTGTACAAATGTGCCCACTTCCCCCTTTCTCCCTCTCCCCTCCCCCGTTCCCTTCTGCTAACCACCAATCTGTTCACCTTATCTATTATCTTCGCCATATGAGTGAAATTATATGGTATTTGTTTTTCTCTGTCTAACTTATTTCACTGAGCATAATACCCTCAAGGTCCATCCATGTTGTTGCAAATGGCACGATCTCATCTTTTTTTATGGCTGAGTTTAATTACCTTTTTTTGAAAGCTCTAGAAGATGGAAATAATTCTTCCTTATAATAAAATTCATCGACTGCTGTTTTTATTTTTATTCATACTATATCGTCTTTCAGTTCTGAGAAAGCTAAAAAAACGATAATAATAAAGTGCCAGCGTGGGAAAAATGAAAGATAACTGAATACCCTGGGGGGAAAAAAAGTATGGCTATTTATTTTTAATTAATTTAAATTAAAAATTGGTCTCAGGTGGCTGGCAGCTACCATGCTGTACAGTGCCCTTCTCTCATGTGGAGATGGCATTGTTTATTTGGGAAGTCCCCTGTTGGTGACATTGGTTGTTTCCAGTATTTAGCCTCTGTGGAATATGGGTTTAGTAGCAGAAAAATGGCCCCCCAAGGATGTGCACGTCCTAATGCTCAGAACCTGTTAGTATGTTCCTTACCTGACAAAGGGGACTTTGCAGATGTCAGTGAGTTAAGGACCTTGAGATGGGGAGATGATCCTGGGTTATCCAGGTGGGCCCAGTGTCATCACAAAGGTCCTTATAAGAAGGAGGGGTCAGAGGCAGAGACTTGAAGATGCTACGTTGCTGACTTTGAAGAGGGAGGAAGGGGCCACGAGCCAAGGGATGTGGGTGGCCCCAGAAGCTGAACAAGGCACACAAATAGATTCTCCCCTGGAGCCTCCAGAAGGAACGCAACCCTGCAGACACCTTGATTTTAGCTCAGGGAGACCGATTTTGGACTCTGACGTGCAGACCTGTAGAATGTTACATTTGCGTGGTTATAACCGGCTGAGTCATGGTGGTTTGTTAGCGTAGCCACAGGAAACAAATACAGTGTGTCTTTATACAATAATGACTGTCACGTCGCGGAGGCTCCCCCATCTGAGCCTGTGCGCAGCCCTTTACCTGTAACCCGACAACTGCCCCGGGGAGTTATGAGATGTTCCCACCTTTCGGCTGGGGGAACATAACCTCAGAGGGGCCATTTGCCCCAGATCCTAACCATCAGGGGCACATGCGGCGAGGGTGCACAGACGGACAGAACTGACTGTGCCGTTTCTCACCTTCAGGGACTATGTCGCCGGCGGGGCCTGTCCCAGCAAGGCCACCATTCCCGGGAAGACCGTCATTGTGACGGGCGCCAACACCGGCATCGGGAAGCAGACCGCCTTGGAGCTGGCCAAAAGAGGTGATGTCCCAGCGGGCACACGCTTTCTCTGCCCAAGGCGTGGGTGTGAGGTCTGGCAGTGGAGAGTGTGGTTTCCTGGGGGATAGTAAGGTCGCTGATTCATTTGGTTGCAAGTGACAGAAACCAAAATCACGCCATCTTAAGCCAAAAAGGATCGTGTCCCTGGAAGAGGTCTGGGAGGGCTCAGGGTCTCAGAGGAGGCTGTGGACGTTCAGCATGTTTTAATTTTGGCTTTTCTCTTTGCCTCAGCCTTGCTCATTCCTGCTGCCGTTGGACTCAGTCCTAATGGCTGGGTCGGGGCCTGGGTCAGAGGTTGGGGGTCAAGGCCTGGCTTCAGGCTCTCCTAGGCTCACTGGTCAGGCATTTTGTAGAACGCCCTTCAATTTGGGTTTGTAAGACGTTTTTCTCATGGTTGGGCTGGGGTTGTGGGGGAAGTCCACGGAGGAGAAGTGCCCCCCTCAGCATAGGCAGATCTCTTTGGAAGTTGGAATCAGTGGGGTTTACTGTGGGGTCAGGCAGAGAAAGGGAGGGGTCAAAGAAGACCAGGGCTACCATTGGCTGGGATGGAAGACTGCGGCAGGACAGGTGTGAGGGGTGCGGGAGATGGGAAGCTTTCTTTGGGCTTGTCGAGTTGGGGTGGCCAGGGGAATGGGACCCTGATGGCCCAGGCGTGAGCCGCCTGTCCACCCTGAGGTCAGACAGTGGTGGCCATGATGGGCAGCCCCCCACCACCACACGGGGTTTCCCCGTGGAAGGGACATGTGCTCCTCCCAGGAAAAGGTGAGAAGGGAAATTGGACAGACACACTCACTGCTGTCCTGAGGGCTGGGCTGCCACGGGGAGGACGGACAGATTCAGGGGTCCAGTGAGTTCTGTTCTGGACCGTGTGAGGAGGCAGCTGGGTCCAGCTGTGGGCGGGATAAGCCACGAAGATACTCATGGTCAGCATCCTTGCCACCTGATTCCTGTTATCACTTTTCTAATTTTTTTTCAAGTTTTTGTTTTTTACTGCTGTGTTGAAATTTAATTCACACACTACACAACTCACCCCTTTCAAGTGTACACTTCAATGATTTTTAGTATATTCACCAAGTTGTGCAACCATTGCTGCTCTCAATTTCAGAATATTTTCATCACCTCCAAACAAAACCTCACTCTGCTTAGCCATTGCCCCCTAATTTCTCATTCCCACCCCTCCCAGGAAACCACTAGTCTACCTTCTATGGATTTGCCTATTCTGGACATTTTGTATAAATGGAATCATACACTATGTGTCCTTTTGTGTCTGGCTTTCTTCATTCAGTGTGTTTTTGAGGTTCATTCATGTTGTAGTGTGTATCAGTGCTTCATTCCTTTTCATGGCTGAGTAATATGCCATTGTATGGATTGACCGTGTTTTGTTTATCCCTTCATCTGTTGATGGCCATTTGGGTTGTTTCTACCTATGGGCCAGTGTGAATAGTGCTGCTGTGTACATGTGTGTACACATTTTTGTGCGGATTTATATATTTCATTTGTCCTGGGTATATATACCTGGGTTTTTTTTTTTTAATATTTTTTCCTGTCCTGGGCTTCCAGGGGGCAACATCATCCTGGCCTGTCGAGACATGGAGAAGTGCGAGGCGGCGGCAAAGGACATTCGCAGGGAGACCCTTAATCACCACGTCAATGCGAGGCACCTGGACTTGGCCTCCCTCAAGTCCATCCGAGAGTTTGCAGCGAAGATCATTGAAGGTAGGAGGGAGCGCGCTGGCCTTGTGGGCGGAGGTCTTGGGTGGCTAGGCTTTGAGGAGCGAATTAAACCAGGCAGGTCCTGGATCGGGGTGTTGGCAGACTGTGGCCCCTGGTCAGATCTGGTCACTGCCTGTTTTTGTACAGCCTAAGGGTGAAGATTTTACGTTTTTATCATTTTTCATATTTACATATTTTATATTATTAAGTGGTTGAAAAAAATCAAAAGAATAATATTTCATGACACGTGACCATTATATAGAGTTCAAATTGTAGTTTTCATAAATGAAGTTTTATCGGCACAGAGTCATGCCCATTGGGTTAGGGACTGTCTGTGGCGGCTTTAGTCCTGTGACGGCAGGGTTCACTAGAGACAGATGGTATGGCCCAGAGGCACTGTGCGGAGTACCCGGAACGCCCACTTCTTTGCTGGGTGTTTCTTTTCACAAATCCAGGGATTAGGCTGGCATTTTTCTGTGCTTCCGTCACACCGATTGGTGACTCACTCCTTTTGTTTCCCACTGGGTGTTCTCAGAGCTGTTTATGTGTTTATTTTTTTTGAATGGGAATAACATTTACAGGATATAAAGTTCAGAAAGTACAAATGGGGATACAGCAAAACGTCTCCCTGCCACGCCCACCCCTCGCCCCCAGGATGCCTTCCTCAGATGTGTTCACTGTGTGCCACCTCTTGTGTGTCGTTTGGGACAGTTTATGCATTTGTAAAGCACGCAGGTGTACACACCTCCCCTTGGTTTTTTTATCCAAACCGGAGCCTGTGGTGCTGCCCGGTGCTTGTCTCCCCCGTTCTCTCGTGGAGTCACTGCGGGCCGAGCTTCCTCATTCCTGTCCTGTGGCTACACTGGATTCCACCGCGTGGCTCTGACAGGACAGACCGCCTGTGCCCGTCCTCTGTGAACGGCATCGGCTCGCCCCCAGCCTCTTGCTGCTGTGAACATCCTCGTACACGTGATTTCTCACACACAGGAGGGAGGGCACTCGTAGATCTTTGAGACAGCTTCTTCCTCTCTGCCCAACTCGGTGTTAAATGAAGGCAGGAAAGCCAGCGGGAGACAGAGCAACTGCTGGTAGGAGGAGCGAAGAAGTAAACATTTACTGAGGATTTTCTTTACCCCAGTGCAAAGACATACAAGCTCGTTATGGAAAATCTATAAAATACTGAACAGTGTAAAGAAGAAAGAGCTAAACACCTTTGATTCTACACCAACCCCAAGAGAATCACTGTTACCCTTTTTTTCCCTAAATCACAAAGGCTTCATTTTGAAAAGATAGCTATTATTCTTTATTTCGACAATACAAATTAATAATATGCAGGAAGATTGGCTTTGAATACTTCTGTTTATTTTTATTATTTGATAATCGATCCAGCTATGATACCTACATGTACTGACTCAATGCTAAGCATGAGGGAGACCAGATGAAGAACAGTTGTGTGATGGGTGAGTAATATGATAGAAGAAGGAGAATTCTGGTGGTGGATCCTGATGTAGAAATATCCACAGACACTACCTCCAGGTAGAACACATTGTTTACAGATCTGACTCTGCAGAACTAGGCTCAAAGTCTTGATTTATTCCATAGTGTTCTCTTCTGCTTAACTACTATGTATATACTGTACAGTATATATTATATATATACAATATGTACACTATATATGTAAATATACTAGATGTTATATCTGTGCATATTATTTTTTCTAGCTTTGATCAAGTTTAATTGACAAATAGAATTGTAATATATTTCAAGTGTGCAATGTGATGATTTGATGTATGAATACATTCTAAAAGGAGGAATCACTGTTAAGCTTTTGACATATTTCCTTCCAGTCTTTTTTCTAATGCACTTGGGTGCGTGTGTGTGTGTGTATGTTTGTGTATAGTTATATATTTTTATACGAAACCAAGACCACAGCTGTATACTTTTCTGTTCCCTTACATCCTTAAATAGACTTGAGAACACATTTTTAAAGGCCGCTGTGAGTGCCAGGGTGTAAGGGGCCCATTATTTGTCAAATTCCCTGCTGTTGGGCATTTAGGTTGTTGCCAGTTTTCCCTTATAAATAAGGCTGCAGCGAACACCCTTGCTACCCTCTCTGCTTCGTCCCCTGTGGACTGGCACTGGAACGGGCTTGGCAGACCTCCCGGTCTAGTGTCGACGTGCCTCGCTCTCTAAATACTCGAATATTCACTTAATGGGTGGATAAAGGGAAAGTGGTGGGCTCTCTGAGACCCCCTGATTGGGAGCTGGGTACGTGGAGATGAATCAAAGCTGTCTCAGAGTGCTCTCAGAGCAGTAGGCGAGACAGGTGCAGGTGTTCATCCATTCGTTGATCATCCATTGATCATCCGTTGATCATCCATTGATCCATCCATTGATCCATCCATCCGTTCATTCATATTGACTACCCACCCTAATCCCAAGGGGATCAAGGTAGAGCCATTCACATCACGGAGTGGATGTCAGAGGTGCTGTGGGGGAGATTATGTAGGGCAGTGAGGGAGCAACGCCAGCCTCTAGGTCTAAGGGGGATGGGTGGATAAACATTCATTAAGTGCCTTCTGTGTACCTGGGACAGCACCATGCCCTTTATGGACACTGTCCCAGGTGATGTTGCCTGCGAGCCCCTTTCATCCCTGTTTCCAGGTCTGGAGATGGGTACCCAGAGCGCTCAGCTCCCTGGAGGGCTGTGGGGGCAGCAAGGACCCGAGCTGGCCACACCTGGGTAGACAGCGTCTCCTCTTTGAGCCACACTTTCCTCTTCCAGGACTTGGGATAATAATTCCTTCCACCTTACAGGGTTGTGTTGAGGATGAAATTAAGTTGAGCCTGATGTTTTTGGCAAGCCAAGTACTGGCTTCCTGATGTTTCCCTGAGCACAACAGCCAGGAATGAAAAAGTCAGTGGACTTAAAAATGGTTAAGATGGTGAGTTTTATGTTAGGTGAATTTTACCACGGTTTTAAAAAATGAGGCAAAATGAAGGCATTCCCAGATAAACAAAACAAAACAAAAAAGTCAGTGCAGGCTTTCCGGGTGCCCAGCACTGCGCATGGAGCCTTGTTCCAGCCTCAGGGCCTTTGCATGTGCTGTGCCCCAACCAAGACTGCCCTTTGCCGGATCCTCATGTGGCTGGCCCGTCTCATCCTTCTGGTCTCAGCTTCTGTGTCATTGCTGAGAGGGGCCCCTAGCCTCCCTTACAGCACCACAATATCTTGTATCACGGCCTCCTGTGTGCTTCCGTCACAGCTCTTCTCGCTGGAGAATTCCCTTATGTGTGGTTGGTATGTGCTTTACTCTCGGCTGCCCCCCAATGTCCATGACTGTCTTGTCCACCCCGTATCTCCAGCGCCCAGTAAGAGGTGCTTAGAAAATACTTGCTGAGTGAATAATAATTATACCATTTACCCGGCAGTTTCTGTTATTATTCTGTTTTTACAGAGGGGGAAACTGAGTCACAGAGAAGCCGTGTGACTTGGCCAGCGTCATACAGCTGGTTGGGGGTAGAGTCGGGGGATTTGAACCCCCATCTGTAAGGCTCAGAGCTTGTGCTCCTGACCGCTGTGCTACACCCTTGGCCCCAAATGAAGAACAGAATTGAGGCTCTGTTTATTAGGTGCCAGATCACTAATTCATTATCTCCACTGATCCTGAAAACCACTTTGGGAGTGTTTGTGCGTTCCATTGTTCCCCCTCAAAAAGGTGTGTTGGGGTCCTAATCTCCCCAGTACCTCAGAATGTGCCCTTATTGGACGTAGGGTCTTTATGGAGGTAATCAAGTTAAATGAGGTGATTAGAGTGGACCCTAATCCAATAGGACTGGTGTCCTTATAAGAAGGGGAAATTTGGACACAGAGACAGGTGCGTACAGAGGGAAGATGAGGTGAAGAGACATGGGGAGAAGACGGCCATCTACAAGCCAAGGAGAGGGGCCTGGGACAGATTCTCCCTCATGACCTCAGAAGGAACCAACCATGCCGACTCCTCAATCTCGGACTTCCAGCCTCCAGAACGGTGAGACAATACATTTCTGTTCTGTAAACCCCCCAGTGTGTGGTATTTTGTCATCGCAGCCGTAGCAAACTGACACAGGGTGGAAGGCGCTGCTATTCATCCCATCTTACAGATGAGGAAACTGAGGTTCCATGAGGGACCGTCGCTTGTGCAAGTGAAGCGGCAGAGCTGGGAACCAGAGGTGGGACTGTCTGCCCACAGAGCCCCAGCCCCCACCAGTAACCCCCCAGTTTGAGGCCGAGAAGCTCCTGCAGCAGATGTGGCTTCTTTCTTTTTTTAGAAAAGACCTCCAAGGCTAAGGTGTGGGTGTATTCATTTCCTGTGGCTGCCGTAACAAAGCACCACAAACTGCCTGGCTTAAAACAAGGAAAACCTGTTCTCTCACAGTTCTGGAGGCCAGAAGTCCAAGATCAAGGTGCCGACAGGGCCGTGCTCTCTCTAAGACTCTGGGTAGAATCTTGCTGCCTCTTCCAGCTTTGGGTGGTGGCCGTCAGTCCTTGGCTTTCCTTGGCTGGTAGCTGCATCCCTCCACTCTCTGCCTCCGTCATGACACGACCTTCTCCCTGTGTGCATGTCTGTGTCCAGATTTCCTCTTCTTGTAAGGAACCAGTCACGTTGGATTAGGGCCCACCCTATGACCTCGTCTGAACTTGATTGCTTCTGCAGAGACTCTCTTTCCAAGAACGGTTGCATTCACAGGTTCTGGGTGGGCACAGTTGTTTGGGGGACACTGTTCAGCCCAGAGCAGGGGGCTCTGTCCACAGTGGCAGGCCCGGAGCTGATGCGTTTGCCCTCATCCCTGTCTTCCAGAGGAGGACCAACTGCACGTCTTGGTCAACAATGCGGCCGTGATGCGGTGCCCCCACTGGACCACCGAGGACGGCTTTGAGATGCAGTTCGGAGTTAACTACCTGGGTGAGGCCACGGGCTGAGGGCTGCACGGTGTCGGTGTCAGCCTGGGACGTGAGCCGGGTCTGCAGTGGGCCAGACACAGCCCTGGGAGGGAATCCTCCTCCACTTTCCGAGGTGGCAGGCACTCATGGGGTCCTCTGGTGGCTCAGAGAGTTGCCCGTTCATCACTGGATGCCCAGTCAGCTCTTCAGATCTTCATCTGTCTCTTGGCATTTTTGTCCGTTCATCTATCTGTCCTTCAGTCTCAGTCTGTCAGTTCTTCAGCCACTCAGAAAACCCTGTGATGGTTCCATCTGTGAGTCCTCCAGTCTCTGTCTGTCTGTCACTCTCAGTTTGTCCTTCAGTCACTCTGTCAGTCTATCTGTTGTCATCCTGAGTACAACTAGAGTTCTGTTAGTAAGAGTGAGGGGGAAATGGATGTTGGGTGGGCACCAATCATATTGGATTAACGCCCCCCTAATGACCAACTTGGTCATCTCTGTAAAGACCCTGTCTCCAAATAAGGTCACATTCTAAGGTACTGGAGGGTAGGACTTCAACATATTTTTTTAGGGGGTGGGAGGACACAATTCAACCCATAACACACGTTACTCTCATTCACTTCCTATTGGCTGGGACTGTCACATGACCTGATGCAAGGGAGTCTGGGAAACGTAGTTTTTCACCGGGCAGTCTGCACAGCCAAAAATTCTGTTACTGAAGAAGAAATGGTGAAAGGGTTTTGGGAGGCAGAAGGCAGTCTCTTCCCCAGCTAACTTCATAGGGTTCTCACAGGGCTTGTCATTTGGGGCTGATCATTCTTTTGTTGTGGGGACCCTCCTGTGCACTGTAGGATGTTGAGCAGCATCCCTGGCCTCCACCCACTAGATGGCAGTAGCTTTCCCTCTTCTCTCCGCAGTTGTGACGATCAAAATTGCCTCCAAATATCACCAAATGTTCCCTGGGGGGCAAAATTGCTTCCAGTTGAGAACCATGGGTTATTGGGAGGGTGAAATAGGGTGATGTTCTCAGTGGGGTCCTATGCACGTGGGAAGAGTTCAGTGAAAGTTATCTTTTTGTCATCCTTCACCCAGGTCACTTTCTTTTGACAAACTTACTGCTGGACAAGCTGAAAGCCTCAGCGCCTTCGCGGATCATCAACCTCTCGTCCTTGGCCCACGTTGCTGGGCACATAGACTTTGATGACTTGAACTGGGAGAAGAGGAAGTACGACACCAAAGCAGCCTACTGCCAGAGTAAGCTGGCCGTTGTCCTCTTCACTAAGGAGCTGAGCCGGCAGCTGCAAGGTGTGTGCATGGCGAGCCTCACTGGCCCCTTCTTCCTTTAGCTCTGAGCCTGGAACAGTCCTGCTATGACCCTGGGCTGATGGGAGGTCAAGCATTGGCTCCAGGACAGAGTAGGCAAATGTATGACACATACCACCATGCTCCCTGCTGGTGCCTGAAGCAGACATCACTAATCAATCACGGCATTAGCAGACATCACTTATCAATCACAGCATTCTTCCCTGCTCATCCTGGACAGGCATCCGAGCCTTTGGTGCTCTAGGCTAGTGGACGTTTGGCAATGTCTGGAGACATTTTTGGCTGTCACTTCAGGGAGTGGGGATGGGGTGGGTGTTGCTCCTGGCATCTAGTGGGCAGAAGCCAGGGATGCTACTCAACATCCTACAATGCACAAGGTAAAGAATGATCTGAACTTGGGGTCCATAGTGCTGAAGTTGAAAAATCTGCCCTTCACCCTTGCTTCTCAAAGAGGGTCTGTGGACCAGCAGCGTCAGCTCACCTGGGAGCTTGTCATAATTGCAGCATCTCAGACCCCGCTGACCCGCTGCTTCAGACTCTCTGGGGGGTGGAGCCCAGCGGTCTGGGTTTCTCAAGCCTTCCAGGTGATTTTCACACACACTCAGGTTTTGAGAGGCTCTGGCTCTGGGCAGCCATGCAACAGAGCTGCCCTGCGAGATGAAACCACTTGACCTGGAGGTTTCAGAGCAAGAGGGTGATGTGGATTCAGGGGTAGAAACAGCCCAGGATGGGGAGTCCCAGAGCTTAGGGTGGGCAGCATTGGCCTTCCAGGTAAGGAGTGCACCTGGCGTCGGCGCCCCCCCCGCCTTATCTTCCCTTCTCTCCCAGGCACTGGTGTGACCGTCAATGCTCTGCACCCCGGTGTGGCCAGGACAGAGCTGGGCAGACACACAGGCATGCACAGCTCTACCTTTTCCAGCTTCATGCTCGGTAAGTACCCCCCTCGCCTGCGGTCCCTTAGCTGAACCCCTGTCCTCCTAGCTTGCGGCCCAGGACCCTCCTTTAGTGTATTAGTCAGAGTTCTCCAGAGAAACAGAACCAATAGGATATATCTATATCTGTATCTATATCTATATCTGTATCTGTATCTATATCTGTATCTATATCTGTATCTGTATCTATATCTATATCTATATCTGTATCTATATCTAGATATCTAGATATTTAGAGAGATTTATTAGGAGGGATTGGCTCATGCATTTATGGAGGCTGAGAAGTCCCATGATCTGCCATCTACACACTGGAGGCCCAAGAAAGTTGGTGATGAAGTTCCACTCCAAACCTGAAGGCCTGAGAACCAGAGGAGCTGATGGTGTAAGTCCCGATCTGAGTCAATGGCCAGGATCTCCAGTGTCTGAGGGCAGGAGGAGATGGATGTCCCGGCTCAAGCAGACAGCGACTGAATTTGCCCTTCCTCCACCTTTTTCCTCTGTTCTAGCCCTCAACTGATTGCATGATGCCCACCCACATTGTAGAGGGCGAATTTTCTTTACTCAGTCTATTGATTCAAATGCTAATCTCTTCTGGTCACACCCTCACACACACACCCAGAAAGAAGGTTTTACCAGCTTTCTGGGTGTCCCTTAGCTCAGTTGAGTTGACACATAAAATTAACATCACACTCGAAGACTGTCTCAGGGGCTTTCCTTCTGCCCCCTCCCCTGTATCTTCCGTGGTACCAAGAACAAGTCACTTTTCTATTTCGATGTTGATGTGGTCCGCCAGCCAGATGCCCCCAAGACACAGGCCAGAGCCCATTTGATGATGAGAAAACCACGTCTCAGAGGAGGAGTCCATGGAGCTGACTCCTGGAGTCCGGCTGTGCTCAGGATAACTCCAGCTTCTCCCAAAACCAGCTGTGCCACCCAGGGGAGTGACTTCACTTCTCTGAGCCTCAGTTTCCTCATATGCTAAGTGAGGGCCAGAATAGTACCTGCCTCCCATTCTTTGGGAGGATAAGATGAGGCCTCCCTTAAAAGGGACAGCACAGTGCCTGGCCTAGATTTATGCTGAATAAATAATTAGAACTTTATAACTAGTGTTTATAATCATAAACAACATTTAGTGGGTGGGTGCTAGGTATCAAGGATCTTAAGCTGAGGCTGGCACCAGAGACATTCAATAAATAAAAGTTATTTTAAAGAAAGATGGGGTGCGGTGAGGACTTGGGGCTGACAGGGAGGAGGAAGAGCTTCTATTTGCCTGGGAAAGCCAGGACGGCTTCCTGAGGGAGGCAGCTTTTGGACTGGTTGCTGCATCTGGAGGGATTTGGCTGGGCAGTGCCAGGGAAGGGAACTCCTGGTGGAGGGAACCACAGAGGCAAAGGCCTGGATGTGGCCTCTGTGGGACTCCAGGCCCACTTCTGGCCTCAGCAGGCACTAAGCTCCCAGGGGGTGGAGTAGGGGTTTTTGGATCCTCCTCTCTGAATGTGTGTGGACTGAACCCTCTGTGGGCTGATTGCAGGGCCCATCTTCTGGCTGCTGGTCAAGAGCCCCCAGCTGGCGGCCCAGCCCAGCACCTACCTGGCTGTGGCAGAAGAATTGGAGGGTGTTTCTGGAAAGTACTTTGATGGACTCAAAGAGAAGGCTCCAGCCCCTGAGGCTGAGGACGAGGAGGTCGCCCGGAGGCTTTGGGCTGAAAGTGCACACCTGGTGGGCTTGGAGATGTCCCAGGGGCCCTCTGTGAAGGTACAGCCTCTCCCCAAATAACCTCTGAGAGCAGATGTAAAGCCACCAGGGAGGTGGAGTCGTCAGGCTGGAACAGCAAGACCAAGGCTGGCTGCCATGCCCACATCACTCTCTAGGTGACAGTATTGGCCAAGGAAAGCTGGCTGCCATGTCCTCATCATCCTCTGGGTGGCAGTATTGGCAATGTATGAGCCTCAAGTCCAAAAAACACTGGCTGTCACACCTGCAGCGCCCTCTAGGTGACAGTATTGGCACTGTATGAGCCTCAAGATCAAGGAACCTGGCTGCCATGCCCACGTCACCCTCTAGGTGGCAGTCTTGGCCAAGGAATGCTGCCTGCCATGCCCACGTCACCCTCTAGGTGGCAGTCTTGGGCAAGGAATGCTGCCTGCCATGCCCACATCACCGTCTAGGTGGCAGTATTGGCAGGATATGAGCCTCAAGACCCAGGACTGCTGGCTGTCACACCTGCAGCACCCTCTAAGTGGCAGTATTGGCTCCTTTTCTCTTTCTTTTCTGGCCACAGTGGATTGGACTGCAGTTGGGCATCTGACCCAGGGGCTGGCAGGTACAGTGTCCTCTGCTGCCAACAGGTGAGCTGGGCCAGCAGATGCCTCCCTTGGGAATCTAAATTGGGGACTGCCCAGGGAGGAGTCAGCTCCCTTCTGGTGTGGGCCATGTTAGGAGAGCCACTGGCGGCCGTGGTGGGGGACTGTATGGCCCATGGGCAAGCTGTCTGACAGACACAGTTGAGGTCGTGGCTCCCTGTGGGACCTTGTACACCTCTAGTCTCCTCTCTGAGCCTTGGTTTCTCCAACTATGAAATGTGGAGAATAACTTGACTACCTCATAGGATCCAGTGAACGAGTTATTGCCTGGCTCGGTGAGTGGCAGCTGCAAATTCCTTGCCAGTGAATATTTGCTGAGGATCTTTCATGTGCCAGACTGGTGAGGTGCTGGGGATACCCCGGAGAACTGGCCTGCACAGATCTGGCATTGTTGTCTCTGAGTCATGGTTGGGACAGCATGGAGTGAAAAACACACCAGCTGCTGCTGCTGAGGACCCAGGATGCCTGGGGTCACGACCTTCCCTCTGATTCCTGTGGTAATTTAAACACTAGACTCTCCAACTTGCTCTTTAGTGGTAGGAATAAAACATCTTGTTGAGTCGTAGGGTTTATTTTCTTCCTTTGTGCGTGCATGTGGGGAAGTGCCAGTGAGCTGAACAGAACCAACTCATGCATTTCTTCCTTTTACAAAACCAAGTCGTCAGTTTAAATATTCCCGGGGCAATAAACCAGTCAGAAGCGCAGACTTTTTAGAGGTGAAGGATTCCCTTCCCTCCTTCCACACGGCAACAGTTGTTGAAGTCTGGGTGTCTTCTGTGTTCAAAATGGGGCTGGCATTCAGCTGGGGCACAGAATCGAGGGGGCCAGAAAGCTCAGTAATCAAGATAAAAATATTTTAACATTAAAGAAATTTAAAATTTGATATAATTGCAGAGGGTATTCTGTTGGTTAGAAGCAAGCTGCAGATACAGCCATATCCCAAAAGAGGGGACTATGCAAGGGTGTGACTACCAGGAGACAGGGGTCATGGGGGGGTTCCCTGAGAGCCTGTCCTTCAGAGGGAGATACACATATATGTCTATGTACCTATGTATATGTATCTACTTATGCAATGTACGTATTTCTTACTGTGGGATCGTGGAAAAACAAGTTTGAGAAGCACTTCTACCAGATGGGTAGTCTGGGGACAACCTCAACCCCCTGATTCTGTAAGTATATGTACAGGACTCACCTGGGGAGATGGTGGTATTCTCTTATGTAACCACAATACAATGATCCAAGTCAAGAAAATAATATTGATAAAACCAGTATCTAATATCTAATCTACAGATGTCCAAATTTGATCACCAGTAAGGCCCTTTACGTCAAAAGAAAAACTCTTTTTTGTTCCCGACCCAGGAGCCAATCCAGGATCACATCTTGCATTAGTTGTCGTGTCTCCTTAGTCTGCTTTAAACTGCAGAGTCTTTATCTTTCGTGACTTGGACACTTCTGAAGAGTACTGGCCAGGTATTTTACAGAATGTCCTTCAATTTGGGTTTGTCTGTTCTTTCTTTCTTTCTTTTTTTTTTTGCTGAGGAAGATTTGCCCTGAGCTAACATCTGTGCCAGTCGTCTTCTATTTTGTACGTGGGTTGCTGCCACAGCATGGCTGATGAGTGGTGTAGATCTGCGCCCGGGATCTGAACCCACGAACCTGGGCTGCCGAAGTGGAGTGCCCCGGACTCAACCGCTATGCCACTGGGCTGGCCCCATGTCTGTTACTTCCTAGTGATTAAAATCAGGTTATGCATTTTTGATAAGAATGCCACGGAAGTGATGCTGTGTCCTTCACGGTGCATTACCTCAGGGGACACGCGATGTCTTATTTGACCTGTTACTGGTGATGTCAGCTAACTCAGCAACATCCAGATGGAAGGGGTGCATAGAGCAAGGCATGTGGGGAGGGGTGAGGAGCCTCCGTGCCCTCTCTGGGCACACCTGTCTCCCCGAGTTCACCGACCCGGAAGCTCCTGCATAGACTCTTCCTGCTGCCTGTCAGCTACAGTTTTGGCAGGTCTCTGAGTCAGGGTACCTTGTCCTTCCATGTGTGACGAGGGGGCATATGAATGTGACTCAGCAAGACCAGTCAGACCTTCTCCTTGAATTTGGGTCTCAATGGGGCTGACACCAAGGCTAAACATGTCTGTTCCAAAATGGCGGCCAAAGATGTCTATCAGCTCCCGGTCCCTGCATCCCTGGTGTTTGCCTGGTTCCTATCTGTATTAGCTTCCTAGAGCTGCTGTAACAGATTACCACAAACTGGCTTCAACAATACAGATTTACCCTCTCATGGTTCTGGAGGTCAGAAGTCTGAAATGAGTCCCTCTGGGCTAAAGTCAAGGTGTCGGCAGGGCTGGTTCCTTCTGAAGGCTCCAGGGGAGGATCCATTTCCTTGCTTTTTCCAGTTTCTAGAGGCACCGGCATCCCTTGGCCCGTGGCCCGTTCCTTCATCAGGGCCAGCAGCGGTAGACCAAGTTCTTCTCATGCTGCCGTCTCTCTAGCTCTCCCTCTTCCATTTGTGAGGACCAGTGTGATTCCATTCAGCCCACCCAGATAATCCAGGATCATCTCCCTCCTTTAAAGTCAGCTGACTTGCAGCTCTAATTCCGTCTGCCACCTTCATCCCCCTTTGCCACATAAAGTAATGGGTTCCCAGGGTGAGGATGTGGACGTCTCTGGGGGGCCACTGTTCTGCCTAACACACTGTCCTTTTCAGAACCTGGTTTCTTAGCTTTTCTCCTGACTCTGGGAGCTTCCTCACATACTTCCCTTCCTTTCAATTCAATTCCTTTCTGCTGAAATTAAGCGGAATCGGTGTCACCACAGTCGCTTATGAGCGAATCAACTGAAAGGAGCAGACACCATCACTAACTACCTGCTTAAAAAAAAAAAACTTGGGGTGTCTCAGCAAGAAGAGGGGTGGGAATTCAGAGTCCGATTTTGGAGCCCACTCTTTTGGGTGGTCGTGGATCTAAACGAAAGGAGGGAAGCCCAGCCTACGAGAGCGGCTGACCACACGGGGACTTGTCTGTCCTGTAGACTCATGCAAAGTGGCTCTGGGCTAATTCTAGCCACAAACCCTCGATTCACATCTGCTTCCTTTCTGAAACAGACCCCAAGGACCACAGACACTGACTCACAGGTCGGTGCAATCCCTGTCTACTTCCCCGAGGGCTGTGAGGTGGCTCTCAAACCTCACTATAACCTTCCGAGGGATGACAGGTGACAGAAACCAATCTGAAAATCCCCAGAACCCACAGAAGCCCAGAGAGGAGATTGCGGCAAAGTAACAAGCAGACGGAGGAATCGACGTCAAGGATGATGCTTCATGGGGTGGGCTCTTTGCAACAAGGAACTCAAGTCCGTCTCCAGTCCTTCATGCTGCCCTCCGGGGCTCGGGCATTCTGTCAGGATGCTGTGGGCTGCCCGTGGCAGGAAATACTCCAGGGTGTAAGCTGGGCTGATTCACCCCAGGCGTGGGCAAGAAGGAACACTACTTGACAGTAGTAGGAGTCTGGAGGTAGGGCAGGCTTTGGGTTCAGGACATTGTCAAGCTTCCTTCCGCCTGACTGTTTGACCTTTACCAGGGTCATCTCCATCCCAAGGCTGGGTCTCTTTAGTGGGCTGAATGGTGGCCTCATAACAGATACATCCAAGTCCTAACCCCCGGTGCCTGTGAATGTGAGCTGATTCGGAAAAAGGTTCTTTGCAGATGTAATTAAGTTAAGGATCTCGAGATGAGATCATCCTAGGTTATCCAGGTGGGCCCTAAATCCAACCATAAGTGTCCTTAAAAGAGGCAGAAGAGGGAACATGGAGAGAGCAGAGGAGAAGCCACGTGAAGATGGAGGGCAGAGATTGGAATGACGCAGCCTCAAATCGAGACACGGCCAAGCCCCCCGGGAACTGCAGAGGGCAGGGAGCAGACTCTCCTCTGAACCTCAGAAGCTTGCATGGCCCTCCCGACACCTTGAGTTTGGACTTCTGGCCTCTGGAACTGTGAGAGAATAAATTTATGTTGTTATAAGCCACCAAGTTGAGGGTAATTTGTTACAACAGTCAGAGAAAACTAATACAATGTCTTTGGGGGTCACGAGATGGCTGCCAGAGCCAATTTGAGCCACTTGTCTTTTTTCTTTTCTATCCAGTGGGAGAGAGAAGTACTTCTCTTCATTTGTCTGGTTGGGTTATCTCAGGTCACGTACTCATCTTAAAACCCATAAAAGTTCCCCAGGGGATGCCAAGAGGTAATGGACTTAAAGCAGGATTTTCCAACACCAACGCCATTAACATTCGGGGCTGGATAATTCTTTGCTGTGGGGCGGGGGGCCGTCCTGGTTCTTGTAGGATGTTGAGCATCATCCCTGGTCTCCACCCACTAGATGCCAGTAGCACCCGCTCTCCCAGATGTGACAAGCAAAATTGCCTCCAGATATTACGAGACGTCCCCTGGAGTGGAAAAATCACCTTCAGGTGAGGACCACTGATGCAGACGGATGTGGATCCATTTCCGGGTCTGTGAGCGTTAGGAGCTGCAAACTGATGGCAGATGAGATGGAGCTAATCCTCAGCATGTGGTGGCATCACAATTATTTGTTTTCACCGGTGGTTAATTGGGAAGGTAAGGTGCTGGGAGATCAAGTGCCTTTAGAATT